TTTGAGGGCTGCGTGTATGCCGACACCGCTCAGAGACTGTCAAGCAAAGTGCTGCCAGTAGCAAGGTCTACTTGTGAGTTTCGCTCTGACATGAAAGCAGCCCTAACCCCAAACTCTTCTCCAAAATGAAACACGCAACCCCGACGGCCTGTACCCGGGTAGGTGGCGTATGTATGTATTCAAGAACTATGGGAACAAATAGAACAAGCTCATCGAACTGGTCTAGACTTCTAAGCACCCTACAATCCAGCTGAAAACAGCCACTGAGGCCGCAGCGCCTTTCCCATGTGCCAGGGGCACCGGGGAAGGAGTGCCCAACAGTGCCCAAAATTACGTAAACCTGGGAAAGTTCAGGGCTTTTTAAGGCTTGGAGTTTAAACCCTAAACTCCGTATTCAGCCCCTGTTGCAGGTCAAGCCTGATTGTGTTTTTAAAGCCCTTGTTCGTCCATGCAAGCTCAACAAGCCTATGGTTCGGGAGTTTAACATGTTGGGTTTCTGTGGTTTAGGGTTTAGGGTTTCTGTGGGTTTTACGTTCTGCAGGACTTCGTCAGGTTCACAAGGCTACGGCTTGAGGGCCGCCAAGCCTATCGCTTGAAGTGAAAAGCTCCACCCTGCAAAAACCTAACAGTTCGATATCATGTGTTCTCGGGCTGTTTGGGGATTCCCCCTAAACCCTAACCCCTGAACCCTATCAAACTCGGATTTGGGTTTAGAGATCACTGGCTACTCGAAGGATCCGAAGGATTCTACGTTGAGGTTCCCATACCAATATCCCTAGGCTTGGGGTTTAGGGTCCTTCATCCTTCCAATTAGGTCCAAGTAGGACTGAAGTCCAACAACAGTTGCAGTTTAAGGCTTAGGGGCTTAGGGTTTAGGGTTTAGGGTTTGGGGGGGATTAGGGACAAGTCAGGGTCCCTTTGTCACGTGGATCCTTCTCTTGGGAAACGCTTAACAACCACCTCAAGCGGAACCATCCTTTTGGGCCAACCCCCATTTCTTTTGGCTCAAGCAGCCAGAAAAAAAACTAAAGCCCTGAACCCGATACCCTTGCAGGCCAGCCGCTCCTTTCACCAAACAACTTGCCCACATGCAGGGTGGGTGTCTTGAGCCGAGCATGCAACATGTAGGGCCCTTCACAATTAGAATAAGGTTTTGGGGTACATTATACTATAATTATAATACTGGTAATAATTTAGGCCCCCATATTAAGCCCCCTGAACCTCACATGTTGAACTCTATAGTAACAGTTGCATCATCGGAGCTTCTCTGGTGTAAAGAAACCTCCCGGGGTTCTGGAAGAGGCTCTCCGAAACGGTCCTGAACTAGATGCACTCTAAGAGCCTAAGCCCTAAAGGAGGGTCCTCTGCGGGTACTAAGAGGATGCAGGCAAAGGTTTGAGAAGAGGTATGGTGGCTGTACATGTCTTCTTGTCGGGCCTCTCAACCCTAAACCCTAAACCCTGACCCTAGCCTTAGCCCTAAGTGGGTGCAGGGCAGGTCAGTCTCGGAAGTTCAAAGGCACCAAAGGCGTTCGGGCTCGCGCTGTCAGGGCCTGGGGCCTTGCGGCCTTCGACTCCAAGGCTCTCTGGGGTTCGGAAGCCTGAAATCCCTAAACCCTCGCAGCCCTTATAGTAGCCTTGATCGTGCCCCGTCAAGGCCCAAGATGTGAGGCTCCGAAGCCGGATTTATGAGAGCCCTGAATTCCCAAACCCTGGTACCCTCGACGACCCCCAGAAGAAGCCAGACTATAGAACCCTGTCAACCCTGAGCCCTAAAGCACAACCGAAAGCCCATGGTTTGGGGCTTAGGGTTTGGGGTTTGGGCTTAGAGTTAAGGGTTTTAGGGCCATTTAGGGTAAGCACCCTGCAGAAGACCTGACACCCCTGCATGCACAAAGCCTAAAGCCCCAGCCCCCCGAAGCCCGAAAGCCTAAACCCACTCAAGCGAGCCCAAATTGGGTATAGTACTCTGTACTATAGTTGTAATAAGGAAGGCTGAAGGTTTAGGTGATAATATGTCTAATTTCCATGCTTTACTAATTTACATTAAACCCTAAACCAAAATGTACTTATAGAAATCCTTACCGGAAGACCGATAGGAACCCTACAACACTCTTACTCGAACCCCGACAGAACCTCTCTCAAGTCCGATAAAACCTTATAACACCTTACCTTAGCCCTCCATCGCTTGCAGGGTAGACGCTAAAGGGTTTAGGTTTTAGTGTTTGGAGCTCAGCGTCGAAATCGTAACCTTAAGCCCTGAACCCCATATCGTAACGTTTAAGGACACTAAAGCATCCTAAACCCTGCAAAAGGGGTTTTTGGTGTATCATCATACGAAGAGATCAAGGTGCGAATAGCATACCGAGCGTCAAGGGCTGCTCTTATCTTTTGGCTTTAGGATTTAAGCTTTTAAGATAGAGGTTTAAGGGAGTTTATCGTGTGGCGATGGGAGCCCGATCGATCACTGCGCTCGAGGCCTTCGACCCCCCCAACCTTTTGAGGCCATCCGGCCCCCAGAATGTGAATGCCCCGAAAAGGGTTCAGTAAGGCCAGGTCGTACTCGGTACCGGAACACAGTTCTCCACGTCTCCTGATTCCCTTTTGCGGACGTTGCAGCGAGCAGAATTCTGTTCCGCTGCGCTGCTTCTTCCCTGCCCTGCCAACTGCCTGCCGACTGCCCTGCCGACTGGCTCCCACTGCCAACCTTGCGCCTAAGCGCTCTTTGACGGCAAATCCGAAACCCTGACCCCTAAACCCTAAACCCTAAAACCTAAACCCCTAAACCCTAAACCTTAAAAACCCTAAAAACCCTAAAAACCCTAAAAACCCTAAAAACCCCAAAAACCCTAAAAACCCTAAAAACCCTAAACCTTAAAAACCCCAAAAACCCTAAAACAGCCTAAGACAGGTCGGGTCCGAGCCCGCTCGTAGTGAGCCGCAGCGCTGCTGCCGGCCGGTGAGCTGACGGAGTCCTCCCCAGGCTTGGGGTTTTAGGGTTTTAGGGTCCTTTAAAGGGGTCCTATAAAGGGTTCCCTTAAAGGGATCTATAAGGGCTTTAGGGCTTTAGGGCTTTAGGGTTTACGGTTTGGGGTTTTAGGGGTTTTAGGGTTTTAGGGTTTGAGGGGTTTTAGGGTTTAGGGTTTTAGGGTTTTAGGGTTTGGGGTTTTAGGGTTTGGGGTTCTAGGGTTTAGGGTTTAGGATTTCCGCAAAGGCGCGTAGGCAGCGCCTGTGTCCTTCGAGGGGTTTAGCGCGTGTTAGGGCTTTTAGGGTTTATAGGGGGCTTAGATGGTTTATAGGGTTTATATGGGTTTAGGATTTAGGGTTTAGGGCTTATGGAGTTTAGGATTTAGGTTTAGGGCTTATAGGGTTTAGGATTAGGGTTAAGGGTCTAGTGTATCCTCCGATGTAGACCTGATGAATACACACCGTTTCCACGGAATTTCGTGAAGGGCCTCCTTATGAAGATATTACTGGTTTCTGTTATTCGAATGATTCTTTTTTTTGGGGGGGCGGGGAGGTATTAGTAGTAGTTAGAGGTCTACATGATATCGCCATCTGCGACTTGGAGAAATTCGCCCCCAGTTGCCTTCCTGGCCGACTAAGGTTTGCGTGTGGCTTGTAACAGTGGAGCTTCCAAGACGTATGCTTCAATCAGACGCCTGCTTCGTGACTGGGTTCTTGTTTAGGAATTCAATGAAAGTTGCCATTTTGAAGAAACCCTAAACCCTAAACCCTATTATTTACAACAGGTCCCTATATTATGGTAAAGTTAAAGTTACATACAATCGCTTGAAAAAAGAACCTAGGTCAGAGCCTGCTCATTCTTGATCATCCGCTTCCGCCCGGGTGCAGAGCTCTTTGCCGTGGTGCTTCTGCTACGAAACACACTGGTAGCGCTTTGTCCAATGTTGGCCGCACAGTCAACCCAGCTTCTGACGATGAGCTGCTCGGCGCTACTGGACCGAGTTCGCCGCCCTTAGTTTAGGGTTTAGGGTTTAGGGTTTCGGGTTTAGGCTTAATTCCTGAGGTTCCCATGTAGACCCGGAACGCTGAACCCTCACCCGAAAGTCCTGAAGCCCTAAACCCTGAAAACCCTCACACGCCTGAACTTGAGTATACAGTAGCTCGCAGATATCACGGCCGCCCTTCACCCAACCAAGTAGGTCTCTGCGTGTTTAGGGTCAGCGCTTCAAGAGTTTAGGGGTTTAGGGTTTATGGTGTTTTAGGGCTTCCTGTCTAGAGTCTGACTGTGTTCAACTTGCTCTTCTCTTGAGGGGCCACCGGCTTTTCACCCGAATAATCAGAGAGTCCTCAGAGTTTTTGAGTAACACAATAAAGTTAGATGCGTAAACATCTCCGGCGGTGTGCTTTATTTTGTCCTTTCGATATGTTGTAATCAGAATGTGCAAAAAGACGAGCAGTTGAGCAACTCCCCAACCCTAAACCCTCAACCCCCTAAACCCTACACCCTAAGCCCTAGACCCTAAACTCCAGCTCACGAAGTAGGCCTGGTTCTCTACGTGAACCTGCTTTTGGTGGCATTGCTGCGGCCTTGGCGATTCGCTGTCTGCAGCTTTGTTGGAACTCAGAGCATCCCTACATAGTCTTGGGAGCCCAATAGGTAAACCTCAAGCTTTCTTGGTATATCAAAGCCCTATAAAAGAAAAGTTTAAACTTTTTTGGGCCAGGGTACTGGGCAGCTAAGCAGCGTAATGTAGGGTTTCCAAATGAGGGGTTTTGGGTTTGGGATTTAGGGTTTAACAGGTTTTTAACTAGGAATCATTATTGTGGTTTGGGAATAACAGTACCAAGGACCCGTTGGGAAAGTACTGAGCCCGGTTTGCTTGTTGATATACCTTCTCATGCTCTTGAGGCACCCCTATCCTAGATTTTACTGGCATAGTTGGCATCTAAACTCCAAAGCTCAGATCCCTAGACCCTAAACCCTGAACCCCTAAACCCTAAACCCTTGAACCCCTACACCCGAAACTGACTTAGGTAACTCCTCCGACATGACGATTCTGCTCGGTATTCTGGTGATCCTGGACATGGGTGCTGTCACGGTACAAGACAGGGACAGGACGCTCAGACGTCACCAAAAGGGTGCTTTGGTGTTGGCTCAATCTTGGTTTGGATGTTCAGGCCTGACAAAACCCCGACTCCTCAGGATGCATTTCTGGGACCGTTATCGGTTATGAATTAGGGACGGAGTGGACGTCTTTTTCACGGATACTCTACGCAAAGGTCCCACGCTGTGGAGAGGCCTACGTGGTCAGCCACATGCCCCGTCTTGAGATCTCTGCCATGTGCCCAAAGCCGATTGAATAAGGGAGGACTGAGCAAAGGCAAAGCCAAGTACTCAGGCTCTAGCGGACTCTAGCGGTAACGGAAATCGTGTCTGTGGATCCCTATGTTCTTCGACCAACTTGTTTTGTTAGTGCCTCCACGGCCCAAAACGGTCCATAGCCATGGACGAACAATCCTTCATAGTGGGTAGAATCGGCTTCTAAAATCGAAAGGAAGGGAGACTTTTCAGAATCATGAGTTTACATTTAAGGACAGCCACGGCCCAGATCGTGATGGTCTTCATCTCACTGATGTGTCTTGTCTTCTGGGAGAAGCCGTCAGGTTCCCTCAATAGAGGTGCTTGTGATAATTGATCAGGGTTTAGGGTTAGAACCCTAACCCCTAAGCCTTAAACCCTAAACCCTAAAGTGTAGGATTGAGGGTATCCATCAGCCTTAACAGGGTTTTGGGGTATGTTTGTGTAAGACTGCATGGGGGCTACAAGGCTTAGTAGCTGAATGACTACGCTTTACATTTAAACTTTTGGGGATCATATGATCCCTGATGGAACTGAGAGTGTACACTTTGGTGTGCTTATGAACTCAGCAACTAAGAAGGGAATACCATTACCAGTTTTTACGAGTTATTCCGGCCCCTACCAATCATTCAGGGCTCTTGTGAAACTAATATAGGGGCCTTAACAGTTAGAATAGGGTTTGGGGGTATAGTTATACTATAGTTATAATCAGTAGCCACCAGAACCCTATTCTAAATATCAAGGCCCCTACACTAGGGCTATGGTTAAGCACGGTATCATGTTACTCGTTGGTCTCTGCAATCCGGATCCTACTCCTTATCTAGGATCGACCAACGAATTCAGGGGTAATGGCTGCTAAACTGTAGGTAAAGAGAGTTACAGGTAAATCCTAACCCCTGAAGCCTAAACCCCCCAAAGCCCCCAAAACCCTAGACCCTAAACCCTACAACCCCTAAACCCTAAACCCTACTCCTGGAACAGGAGGCCCTCTACGAACCCTTTCTCTTCTTTCTTGACGGTCTGTCTCAGTTTCTTAGATGAAAGGCTTTTCTGAACGACGGCGGGCCCCTGCGACAGAGTTCTCAAAAGTGTCCACCCTGGACCTTGATAAAACAGCGGACTCGAATATGTGGGGCCCTGTATGATCCTACCCCTTGCACCCTAAACCCTATACCCTAAACCCTATATCCGTGGGGTTCCTGGTTAGCATTACACATACTACAAATTATCCCAAACCCCACTCGAATACAGTCTAACCTTTTAGGGTTTGGCGTTTAGGGTTTAGGGTCTACAGTAGAAGCCAGAAAGTTGGAACATCATTGTCCTCACTCCACCCTGGGTCGGGTTTAGGATTCAGGGTCTTAGGGTTTAGGGTTTGGGGTTTAGGGTCTCAGGATTTAGGGTTTGGGGTTTAGGGTCTTAGGGTTTAGGGTTTGGGGTTTAGGGTTTCCTTCCAAACTTCACGGGAAGATGAGATGGAAGGGGTTAAAGGGGTTCAGGGTTTCAGGGCGCTAGGGGTTTTAGTGGTTTCGGGCTTCGGGGGTTAGAGTGGCCTTTTAGGCAGCGATCTCCAGGTCCATACCCTAAACCCAGACCCCAGCCCCTTTTGGTGCCCCTTGGGCCCTGGACCTCAAACTGTGCGGTGACACTAGACCCCGGGGCCTACGAAAGAACGACAAAGAATGGCGGTATAGCGAAAGCCCTAAATCCCCAAAAATCCAGTGGCCCCCAAACTCTAAATGCCAGCACCCTAAACCCTAAACCCTGGACTCTACCAGGCTCCATAGTTGTTCCCTTTTAGGGATTACTTTATAGGATCCTAAAAATATGAGCCACAAAAAGGAACTACTATAGAGCCTATGGGTATAGACCTAAACCCTATACCCCTTACCTTTACGGGCTTTCCGGCTATAGACCCTAGTGGAGCTTCTCTAGGTTCGTTGCTTCGCTTGCGACGCTTTGCTTGGGAATGTCCCGTTGCCTCGCGCAGAAGTTCCGAAGCTCGGTCTCTGAGGTGTTTCAGGGCGGCTTCAGGGTTTTGTGGGGGGGGAAAGGGGGGGGGGGGAAAGGGGGGTTCGGGGCTTAGGGTTTAGGGTTTCAGGGTTTAGGGGTTTCGAGTTTCGGATTTAAAGGGCTCAAGGGTTTCAGGATAGTACTGGGACCCCAGGAGTTCGTCAGGGTTGTGTGGGGGCCCTTGCGGTTTTGTAAGGGTTCCAGAGTGTTCCATAGGGTCTATAGAGTCTAGGGTTTAGGCTTTAGGCTTTTGGGTTCAGGTCTAGAGATTTACAAAGGGTTAGGAACTGTAATGAGTTGGTGATGATAGGCACCCTAAGCCCCAAACCCTACGCTTCCCTCAACTTCCTTCAAGGACTTCTTCAAAGGCACCCCCTTAAATCCTAAACCCTTAGGGAGAACCCTTAAAGCTTAAACCCTAAACCCAAAACCCTTTCAACTGAGCCTTTAAGCCCTTAAACCCTTAAATCCTTAAACCCTAAACCCTTTCGGCTGAACCCTTAAACCCAAAACCCCTAAGCCCATAGAGGCTGAACCCTTAACGGCTAAGCCCCAAATTCCAAGGCAAGCGCTTCAAGTTCTTCCTCTGCCACCACAAGCGCGATGCTGGGGCGATGGCCCGGTTGCTGAAGATGGAGCTGGAAGCTCTGCCTATATGTTAGAGCACATGATCGTATAGGTTTTGGTGTATCTTATTGTAAATTCTACCTTATCTCATAGTACGCTATCGTCTATTCTAGTATAAGCATACTATCGTATAGTTTTTAATGTAACATTATAGTATATTATACCCTATATCATACGGTTGATGACATAAATCCTGCATTACCTGAAGGACCCTGAACTAAGGGAATTATGGTATATTCCTTATTCCGGGTAATGAAGGATTTATGTCATCAACCGTCGTACGTTATAGTCTATTTTTAGTGTATATTATCGGAAATTATACTCTATATCATAGTACATTGTAGTATATTGCAGTGTATGTATATATATATATATATCAAACTACATGATAGTATATGTATATATATTGTAGCATACTATATCATTTTCAACTATCTTAGGCTACATTGGAAGCTTTGCTGCTTTGGGGCTCTTGGGGTGCCTGTTTTGGTGTCTTTAGGGTATGGGGTTGACGGTTTAGGGTTTAGGGATTAGGGATTTAGGGTTTAGGGTTTAGTTAAGAGCTTAGGGTTTAGGGCTTAGGATTCAGGGTTTAGGGTTTAGGGTTCAAAGGGCGTTATAAGGGGTTCAGTGAAAGGCCCATACTCAAGCAAGCGGCAAATCTCGAGTATAGAGTCTACAGCAAAAGCCGGCTGGTATACACCCACCACAGCCACACAAACTGCCTGCGTGTCGCTGCATGCTTGTATTCGGAGTTATAGGTACCCTAACTGCGAACTTTAAGTTCAACCTACTTGCTACGGTTCCGTTGGCCCTTTTCGTGTGCTGACACACCAAAAAGTCCCATCGGTTTCTTTCTCCGATATCCCCGAGTGAGGAAAGGAGGCTGCATGGCACCCGGGCCTTCATCGACTGCGGCTCGGATCCTGGATGAGCACCACCCTAAACCCTAAAGCCCCAAACCCTAAACCCCAAACCCTAAACCCTAAACACCCTAAACCCTAAGCCCTGAACCCCAAACCCGAAAACCCTGAGCCTTGAACACGAAACCCAGAGAGCCCAACACCCCTTAATTAAGGAATATACAAATACTTTAAGGTCTATTCCTTAATTAAGGGGTAAGGGGCTCTCTGGGAACCCCAAACCCAGGTTTCGGGTTCAGGATGCTTTGCCGAAGCTCTAAAGCTCTGCTGAGTTGAGGAGCTTTGGGGTTTTAGGGGTTTTAGGGGCTTTAGGGTTTTAGGGGTTTTGAGCTTTGGGGTTTGGGGTTTAGGGTTTAGGGCTTTTGGGGTTTAGGGGTGTAGGGTTTAGGGGTTTAGGGGTTTAGGGTTTAGGGGGAGCATTCTTACCGCTTGCTTGCCATGTCTGCCCCCTTAATGCCTCGTATAAAACTGCGACCTAGGCCCAATGCGCCCTAGCAATACTTTTCCTTAGGGTTCAGCATTCTATTTACGCTATAGACACCCCCAACATCCTAGTCTAAATAGGCTTGTATATGAAACCGTCACAGCCCAGGTGATGACCTCAGTGACCTAACCCAGCTGTTCAGTTACGTGGCGCAGGACGCGGGGTGATAAACGGGATCCTGCCGCAAAATTGTCCCAAAATCAAGGATCTTGTATGCAAACCCTAAATCCCTAAAGCCCTAAAAGCCGAAAAGCTGCAGGTTCTGCAAGACGGAGGTCCCTCTCGGCAATGCTCCAGTATCCCTTAGTTAAGGAATATACCTTAAATCTGATTAGGGTTCCTATTATAACTTAAGGTATATTCCCTAATTAAGGGATATTGGAGTCTCTGGGATACCCTGATACCCTTGTTGATTGCAGGGTTTCCCTCTTTAGGCTCAGCAGTGGGAAACCATGGTACCCTTATTGCTTGCGGGCTTACTGCGCAACCCAGCAAGTGGCGTTGTGCGGTTTCCCAAGTCTTCTACACAGCTCTAAATGGGCTGTCGGAGGTTCGAGCTTGATCTGGGGGGAGGGGGGGGGGCTATGGCTGCCAATGGCTTATGGAAACTTCAAGGCTTATTTAGGGTCTAGGGGTTTGGTTTTAGGGTTTACGGTTCAGGGGCTAGGGTTTAGGGTGTGGGGATTATCGAAATGTCAGGCTCTTTTCAAACCCCGTTGGTGCGTGTGAGCTTTCTCTCACAAGCTATCGGGAGTCACAGTAAGCTAAGGAACCATCAACAAAGATCCCAAGCAGCAGGATCCTTGGAAGAACGACTCCAATACCGCACCTAGTTTTAGTTTAAGAGACTCTGAATACTGAATGTAACGGAACTACTCAAAGCAGTGCCTAGGGCATGCCTTAGTCGATTCCTCCTGGGCCGGAATCTCGAGACCCCTGGAAATCCGTGGCCCTCAGGACACCGAGTCCTTTGTGATTCTCGGTACGAAGGAGGTCTTCCTTCGAAAGTGGTGCATCGGTGACTGGGTCCGCCTAGGAAACCTATCGCACAAGGCTAACGGCTAAGGGTCTCGGGGTTTTGGGGCAGTATACTCAGTATATAATGTAGCAACATGCCCTCGTCATCCTAGTCTTGTTCCTCGACACCAGCCCAGGTGAGATGTTTAGCCTTGATTTGCAGTTGCCGTTAACAGAGCCAGGACATGTTTCGGGCTGCTCCGCCTGCACGACCGCTATCAGTACCACGGCCATGACCACTACCACCACTACCAATACCGTGCCACGCCGCGACAACCACAACCACAACGACGACGACCACCAGCACCAGCACCAGCACCAGCACTACCACCAGCACCACCACCACCACCATACATATACTTGCATGGTGGGAAGTAACAGTAAGCTGTTGGGATATACACACACACACAAACACACCCACACCCACACAATTATCTGTGGAGAGTGGCGGAGTTCAGGCCACGATAAGCACAAGGAGTGACGCAAGCGAGTTTTTTTGGCCTCTCAAAAATCAGAATCGAGGAAACAACGCAATCCCCGGAACCCAAAAGAAGTCACAGCAAAAGCACCAAAATGCCACAACCCTGAGCAGCTTTGGCTTACAGCGTCCAATGCTGGTACCACTGTCACTACTGCTCCTACTACTGCTGCCGATGGCTGCTACATCGACAACGACGAAGACGACTAAAACCTAAACGACTCCTACCGCCACTGTTACTGCTACGTCATAGCCAGCAACCACAGCTCGTACTGAGACCAACTGGTATGGATTTTAGGTGCTGCCAGGTTTCGCATGCATGCTGAAATCTCATCAGGCATCTGTGTGCGTTTGGGTTGCACATTTGACCGCAATATGCGTTTCTTCCATTCGCATCTGGGGAGTTCTCAAGTGAGGTGAGATGGTTACCGCTCGAGCCAGTGGTGTCAGGAGCCTGCTGTTGGAATGGCCTGACTGGAGGCCGCCGAACGATGCTGGGAAGTGATTCAGCATGTTTAGAGTTTAAGGCTAATCTAGCAAAGGCCTGAACCTTCAAACCCTACCTGGGTAGTTCTCTAAATTAGGGTCCCGTTTAGGACCCCTTTTTTAGATACGGGTGCCGTACTTGATTGGGGGCCCAAAAGGGGACCCTAATTCAGAGAACTACCCATGTTGAGGCTGTTCTAGAAGGATTGCAACGATGCTTCCAGGGTTACTGAAGCCCTGTTGCTGAGGAGACTTTCATAGAGAGTGTCGACAGCGTGGTGCCAGATATTCACGAGCTGGTAAGGTTTGGGATTGGCCTGGCCGATGTCCAGGACACCTTCAGGTACCTGGCTTGGTTCTGGGGTTCAGGGTTTAGGGCTTTAGGGTTTAGGGTTTAGGGCATTAGAGGGGTTCCGGGGGTTTAGGGTTTAGGGCTATTCTGCTTATCATGCAGAGGCCCTGCCCGACGAACACCATATCGAAAGATGGGTGCAGAAATACCCTACACCCGAAACCTTCAACCAGATAGATTAGCTCAGCTTAGCTTGGATTCGATCGGTGTCGCCGCAGGTCCGGAGACCAATATAACTACGTCATAATGTAATATAACAACGTCATGGGTCATAATATAGTAGTGTAGTATGGCATAGTACAAAACATAACAGAAAGGATGCTGCAATATTACGGGCTAGTATTGCCAGTGTTTGCCTTCGGGGGCTTTAGGGCGTCTGCGGGTGTAGAATCGAGGACTTCGGGTTGTAGGGGTTAGGATTCAGGGCCTTTAAGGGCTTTAGAATTTTGGGGTTTAGAGGTTTAAGGTTTGGCGGATTTTTTAGGGTTTGCGATGCCTGGATATAGACACCTTTTGGCTCATGTTGCCGGTTCGTTTCGTTGTCTCGTTCCTAGCTTCAGCCGCCGACAAACACGACACAACAGACTAGCTTTAACATGGCATGGGATCGTTTGAGAAGTAGATCATGATAGAAATACGCGAAGGCAACACCCAAACCCCGCTCAGGCAGTTGAGTTCGGTGAAGAAGGTCCGTCTCCCTGGGCAGCTCAACCCCGCAAATATTGCTGAGATGATCGATTCTGTCGTCGGCGTTGGCCCCGCAAAAGGACCTCGATCCAGCAGCAGAGGTGCGAGCTTCTGAAAAGGAGGAAGCTAAAATAACAAAAGGGGCCTGGAACAGGAGAATGGGGTTTGGAGGATGTCCTATCTAGTATAGTTACAGCAGAGTTATAGTAAGCAGCCTCCAAGGACAAAAAGTGAATGGTTGTAATCATGCTGGTTCTACAGCAGCAGGAACCTCATGGGAGTTTCCGAGATTAGGGTTACCTTATTTGGGGGGTCCTTATAATAAGGATCCTACCATTTAGGGCACTATATTGGGGTCCCCTATTTTCGGAAACCCCCTTAGCTTTTCGAACCTTAACCTGGGAGCCGGAGATTTCTGAAATGCCCAGGTGGGTCCTCCGAGTTTCCATTGTTGGTGGATCCCGATAACCTGGAAGCCGTGGCATCCGCTCTGGTCCTCTCCACGCTGCTGAAGCCACTGCTCTTGGGCACCCAGGTGCCCGTTCCCTCGGTGCTCTTGAAAGGCTCCAGAGTCGCGGTAGCCACCAAGATGTCTCTGATGCTGTGCAGCGAGAATTGTTTCAGATCCGAGCACGTTCAAGAATGGCTGCTTCAAGCCTACCAGGCACCATCATGTTGCATGATACCAGTGCTTGCTGAGGATAGTTTTCGAGTGCCTGCCGCCAGTTCCGTGTCAGCCGAGTTTCCCGAATCGGCTTTGGATATAGAAGACCTACATTTGTATGGCGTAATCATCCGTGTCTTGTTTCAAGACATTGCCGTCATCTTCCTTCCGCAGAGCTTCAGCCGCGAGGATCTTGACCTCCGAGCTCAACAAGCCGCGCGGAGGCTTAGTGCACCACAGGAGACATTGCAAAGCAAAGTCATCCGCTTCATGGACAGCGCCGATGCACCCACTGCCAAACGGTGGACAGAAGTGCCTCTGACGGCTGAGGACAATGACACATCATAAGTGTAAAAGAGGCTTAGGATGCTGTTCGTGTCAGGGGCGTAGGGTTTAGGGCATCACCTAGCTCTACTTGCCATTCCTTGGCAAGTGATTCACGAGGGATATTCTTCGTGCCTTCGTGCAGATGGGGCTTCCTTAAAGCTCGGGGCACGTTCTCCAGGGGGATTGATCGATTTCGGGATTGTTTCGGGGTGCATCCGACAGTGATGTACCGTCGCTGGCAATGTTTCTCCCATTCCCCCAAACCCCTAAAACCCTAATCCCTAAACCCTAAACCCATACCGCCAAACCCTAAAACCCCTAAACCCTAAACCCGAAACCCTATACCCATACCCCCAAACCCTAACACCGTGATTTGAAGGATGGATTGGGCTCCCTGAGGACCCTGAGTCCTTAACCCCACCTCCCAGAATCCTGAACCCCCGCGCGTGGTACTCTTGTAGAGCCCCTTCAAACCCTAAACCTCACCTGCAACCGAAAAGACCTACCTTTTAGGGTTTCTGATTATGGATTCTATGTATAGTTCCTAAACAAAGTAGGTCTTTTCGGTAACAGGTAATCCCTAATCCCTAAACCCTAAGGCCTAATCCCGAAAGCCTAAGCAAGGAACCAGGGGCTCAGGGTTTAATTAGGGCAAACCCTGGGGCTTTATGGGTACCAAAGCAAGAAATGGGGTGGTGCCACCTCCTGGTTTCAAAAGACCATAGACCACATCCACGCAGAACAACAAAATATCTTTTTCGAAGGCAACTTCGGGCTTATCATCTGTTTTTTTCCAACTGTGTTTTTCAAACTGTGTTTTTTGGGTAAGTGCTGTGTGGATTCCAGAACTCTTTAGGTAAACCATGCCAGCGTGGATCCCCATACAAGCATAGAGAACACAAGACCATTGGCGACCACCAGGGCATTCACGAACACGACAAAAGCACCCTAAACTCTAAATCTCTAAACCCTAAATCCCCTAAATCCCTAAACCCTAAAACCCTAAATCCCCTAATCCCTAAATCCCTAAACCCTAACCCCTGTAGTGCAGGGCCATCATCCCTCGGGTTTGCTTAGCTCCCGAAGCTCTCACCTGTAGTCCCTGCTACCCGATCCAGCGCAGGCCGGGCTTCCACTGCGAAACGCAGCTACCTACCCGACTCTTTCCGGAAGCAACGTGAGCTGTCCGGAGAAAAAAAGGCACGATTTCATCCAAAAGAGCTCTGAGCTGAGGAGGGGTGTAGCGAAATCTCCACGATCTGAGCCCTCGATAGCAGCTTAGCCTAGACTTTTTCACCTGACATCTTTTTTCAGATGGTGGAGTAAGCCCACAATCTCCAGCAGCACGTCCATCCGAAGAGAGGCCTGCTATAGAGGCCTGAGGCCCTCACCGTTGTGGATTCAAGGCTGAGGGTTTACCAAGGCCACAGATTGCTATACTGTAGTATAATAATTGGTAATAGACTATATTAGACGAAAGTATAGACTATAGTAGACTATAGTATACTACAATAAAGAGGTCAAGGTTAGGGGTTGTCGTGCTCCCTCAAAGGTGGCCCTTCTTAACCCTACTTATGGCTCTCTCAACAGGGACCTTATTGAGAGGGCCTATATCCCCCAGGGTACCCCCCCTAAACCTAAATCCGAGAGTCTGAGGCACTTGGGCTGGGTCCTGTAGTAAGGGTCTCCTTCTCCTTGTCATCTTTCTGTCTGAAGGGTTCCCAAAAAAGCCTAGGCCAGCAGGGTTTAGGGTTTAGAGCTGAAGGCTTACTAAAAAGCCTAAGCCTAAAAAAGCCTAGGTTTAGAGCTTCAGGGTGCAAGACACCACAGAGCTTCGATGCCAGAAGATATCTCTCTGAGAGTCCTCGGCCCTGAACCCTAGACCCTGCTTGGGCGTGAACCTCGAGAGGCCCTACTACAACTCGACACTCTTAGGGTTTTTAGGGTTATATGAGGGCATATCTAACCCTAAACCTCTAAGCCCCTGCTTTCAGGGTTTTACGAGGGCGTATATAACCGTAAGCCTCTAAGCCCCTGCTTTCGAGTTTTATGAGGGCGTATATAACCCTAAACTTCCCTGCAGTCAAAGCCCAGGCTGTGAGCCAAGCAGCAGGAAGACTTGGCATCAGAATTTGCCGCAGCCTTTCCTCAAGCCCGAAAGCCCTCCTCAAGCCTTGCAATCTGCACACCCCTAAACCCTAAACCCTAAACCCCTAAACCCTAAACCCCAAACCCGACTCCCCAAACCCCAAACCTACAGCTCCGACCACAAATCCGAACCCGAAGCCCCTACGCTGCACACCCTGAATATCAGCGCCTAGAGACCTTGTAGTTCGCACGGAAACCCACCGAAAAAAACTGTAGAATCTTGCAACACCCTCTAGAACACCCTCAGCCCCAAGCTCCAAAAGCGCCTCCCCCTTGAGCCCTAGCGCCCTCACACCCTAACGCCCTAACACCCTCACACCCACGAAGCAAAGCCTAAGCCCAAGGAGCCAAAACCACTACAGCCCTGCAAACCTAAAATCCCCAAGCCTTCAGCCCAAGCCCACAAAACCCTCAACCCCAACCCTAAACCCAAGGCCACAAAAACCCTAAAACCCGAAATCTAGACCCTAAACCCAAACCCAAGCCCACAAAACCCTAAACCCGAACCCTAGACCCTAGACCCTAAACCCTAAACCCAACCCCACAAAACCCTCAACCCCGAACCCTAAGCCTTATAAGCCCTAAGCTCAAAGCTTTGACCTTGGCCGCCGGCTGTCACTGTCGGGGGAGCAGGCCTTCATAGCTTTCCAAGACATCCCAATACCCCTTGGATTAGGACGCACTTGTGTGTGTATATACATATGTATATGTATATACATATATATACATATATACATACATACATATATGTATGTACGTAAGTAAATATGTATGTATGCATGCATGTATGCATGTAGGACCTGTAGCCCTTTACAGGTGCTGGGCCGTGATTTGACCTACCCATGGGTACCCTACCGACGATGTTAACAAAGCCCCTATATCTTTCGGCCCATTCCTCATTACTTCTGGGGGCTTGGGTTCGCTGGGTTACTAGTTTCAGTTGTTTTCCGTGGGTTTTATCATGTATCAGAGCTGCTTTAATCTGACAGCGGCTTTCATGGTTTTGCAAGGCGTGTTATAGGACTGCTGCAGAGGGCTTGTGAGGGTGCAGGTGTTTGGTTTAGGATTGAGTTCTGGGTTGTGTTCATGGAGATTTGGGGGAGTTACCCTAAACCCTAAACCGTGGAGTTCAGCAGAGAGTGAAGGCCGAACAGTTAAACGCTTCAGTTTAGGGTTTCTGTGTCTTTAGAGCCGGGCTCTTAGTTATAATGTGGGGATCTTGATCATTCGAACAGGGTTTGGGAAGTATCTTGTACTAGAAAAGTGTAATTACTAGAAATACATCCATAACGGTACATAGAGGACTAGAAGCGAACATTCCGACCCCTATAAAGTGGTTTACGCTGGGTTTGCTCGGAGGGCTTAGCGAAGTGTAGGGTCGCACCAAAAGTCGAAAGCCCGAGCCCTAAAACCTACATCCTAACCCGAAACCATCTCCTAGGTAGTATTAGGGAGACCCCTTAAAGGGGACCCTTCTGGACCCTACTTGTGGCTCTCTTGAAGGGGACCTTATTGAGAAGGCCTATATCCCCACAAGTAACCCCGAATCCTAACCCAACCCTAAACCCTACACCCTAAACCCTAAACCCTACACCCAAAGCCCTAAACCCTAAACCCTACACCCTAAACCCTAAACCCCAAACCCGAGCCCTAAAGCCTAAACCTAAACCATCAACGCCTCAAACCTAGCTGCAGCAACGGCCCCAAACACCCAAAGCTGACTCTTTCAGGTGGGTAGTTACCGTGTTGGGGAGCCTTAATGGAAGCTCTATATACCTTCTAGAAGCCTTATAGAAGCCCTGATTATACCCTAAACTCCCCACCTGTAGTCTCCTTTAGCCCTAGACCCTAAAACCCTAAAACCCTAAACCCCTAAAACCCTAAAACCCTAAACCCTAAACCCCTAAACCCTCAACTCTCCACCTGTAGGTTCCTTTAAAAAGCCGCCTAAACCCTAAACCTTAAAACCCTAAACCCCCTAAACCCTAAACTCCCCGCCTGTCGTGTCCTTTAACAAAGCCGCCTAAACCCTAAACCTTAAAACCCGGAGCCTTCTCCAAGCCTCCGATCCTCTAAAAACAAAAGAAAAGTTGAAGCGAAAAGCCTTCTAGCTGCGGTTTAGGGTGGTTTAGGGTGCATGGTTTAGGGATTTAGGGTTTAGAGGTTTAGGGGTTTAGGGTTTAGGGTTTGGGGTTTAGAGCTGCCCCTCTAGAGGCCATGTGGGGCTATGGCAAAGGCTCTGCAGAGGGGGTGGAGGGAGGGGTTCACGTGAGTTTGTAGATGATCGTTTTGTTGGGTTAGGGGGGTTGTGCTGGCTTTAGAACGTGAGTTTATGGACTCTAGAGTTCTTCTAGGGCTTATTTAAAACTCCCAACAGCAGAGGTCAAGTCGTTTCGGGCTCCACGACCATCAAGCTCTTTTCTCGGAAACGACAGAAAAAGGCTGATGGTCGCAGCGATGATGCTTATGATTTATGTCTCATCGTGATGCTGATGATGATGATGATGATGTGGCACAGGTGAGCTTCGGGTGATGACACAAACTTCTAACGCGCCTAGTGCTTGATCCTGTTTCAGATACTTCTACTGGTGTCCCAGTCGTAGTCTCGTAGCCTTTCCGGCTGCTTCGCAGTTCCATCCTAAACCCCTAAACCCTACACCCTAAAGTTGGTTTCTTGTTAAGTGGTTTAACTTAAGTTACCACAGTAGGGATCTACAGTAAATACAATGGCTTCCTTTTCATAGTAACTTAAACTGCATCCCTTACCAAGAACCCAGTAAACCCTACACCCTCAAGCCTAAACCCCCTGACCACTATATACTAAACCCAGGAGGTCGGCAATCAGGTTCTGCTGACCAGCTGTGTAAATTGTG